CCCTTCCAAAACCCTAGTTTTTTTACCCTCGCCCGATTCCCTTTTTCTTTACTGATGCTTTATATGTGTAATTAATAATGGTTAAAAATGATGTTTCACTGTACAGCTTTTTATGTTTTGAGTAGATTTAACTGTTAAATAATTATCCCAAATTTATTCTCTTTATTCTTTGGTGAGATAGATTCTGGAGTAGAAATTTTTAAAAACATCTGGAGAAGAAATTAGGTCTTATATCGGATGTAAAGTTCAGGGAGATACTAACACAAGTACACACAGTAGTATGTTTTAATAAAGCTTTATTTAGTATAGAAAAATTGTTCTAGCCCTGCCTGCCTTCTGGTGGTGATACTATTAAATCCCAGCCCAGATAGCTAAGGTTTTACATCCAAAAAGAATGGCTATCAGGGCGATGCTGAAAACTGCATGAATCTGTGTAGGATCACAAAAGGTTTTTGAAAGATTAATAAATAGGTGGCACCTCGTATCTGAGATCAACTGCCTCCTTGCACCTTTTAGAGTAACAGTCAACCTTGTCTTTCCTTATTATGTTTGTCTTCTCTGTAACATTATATTATCTATATGGACTTAACCTCTTTACGTGTTTACTATCATCTTATCTGCCCACCAGCGTAAGCTTTAAAAATTTTGGTTATTCAAGGTGAATTGATTATATTGGAAAATGTTTAGTAATGTTTCTTTCATTTTCTTTTGATCTCCACTTATTTTGAAACTTTATGCAGGGTGGTATGCGGGTATATGTCTGTGATCATGAAACATCGCCTCCAGGTCTGTTTCTGTATATTTATGCCTTTTAAATTGCTTAAGGAGCTGCAATTCTATATAAACGAATTAGCTGAGCAATCTCTTTTTATGGTGAAAATTGATTTAGCCTCTATTCTCCTGTTTTTTTGTCCTTTGAATGGATTTACCTGCATATGGTTATTTTATTGCTTAGTGTTTGGCTTCTTGGACTTTGCATATGCACTTTTGTTATAAGTCATTGTAAAGCACCGATATCCTCTCATTGTGTCTCGTCTAGTACATGGTTGGTGTATCTTAGAGATATCTCGCTATCTTGAGTCTTGATGATTCAAGCAATTTGAATGTCTTTCTCTTTTTTTCTCCTTTTAAGTTTATAATTTCTATGCTTCATTTTACCATTTTCTTCAAGGCTAGTTTGCTGCCGTCATCAATCTGGATTGAATTATGTTTCACAAAATGTTGTATATGCAGAGGAGCAGCTTATTAAGACAAACCAGCAAAACATATTGATTAGGTCTCTCATGCTTAAGAAGCAGAGGGGTGATTATAGTTCAAAAGATGGCAAAGGGATTTCCTCAAATGACAATGGTAGAAAAAGGTAATTGTCCATGTTTGTTCAGTACTATCCTATACCAGCTAGTGTACCTCTGTACAGTTAATTTATTGGTGTTGTATCTACTGCCACCACCTAATTTTCAGGACTGCTGAAAAAGCATTGGATAGTAGGGCATCAAGCAAGAAGGCTACTACCAGTAACCAAGTTGCCTCTTGCCAAGGTGAGCCCATTATTAATCATCATTTATGGTCTCTGTAGGTGGTACAATCAAAAATATTGTTAAACGAAGTGGTCTTTCATCAAAATATACTTGAATTATTGTGGTTCATAATTCTATTGCTAAATTGAAAAAGAATAAAGCAGGTGGGTATCCCTTAGCTCTCTATTACATCATCTGTTTAAATTGTCAAATTTGACTCCTAAATTCTAACTGAAAACTTTCATTGCGTTGATAAGGTATCAAGATGTATTTCCAGATATATTACTCAAAAGAACCGGCACAATACGCCTAATCGATTAGAATTGAAAAAAATTCTGTCCCTATTGTTTGAGTATCAGCGGTAATACTTTTGGGTCCACAAAATGAGAACATTAGTATTATATGCAAACATACCCTTCCATTTTATGAAGACCATTTGATTGGGCACAAAGGAATTTAAGATGTTACTTGCACCCAAGGATGTGTAGTGGTCAATGAAGTGAGTTGAGAACTATGAGGTCTCAGGTACAAAGAGGAGGTATAAACACTAGGTGATTTCTTTCCATTCGTTCAAGCCTTGGTGAACAGAGTTACTCGGTGCTTATGCTGGTGGGAGGTAGCAGGCACCCGATGGAATTTGTCGAGGTGTGCACAAGCCTGTGTTGTCAAAGGTGCGCTTAAAGCGTGCTTAAGCCCTGAAGTGAGGCTCAAAACAAGTTGAGCGCTTCGCCTCGCTTTGTGGGCGCTTTAGTCGCATCAAGGCTCTAAGGCATACTTTTCTTTGCCAATGAATATAATCCTGAAAAGGCGACATTAAACAATTGATATTTTGCTTTATTATAATTTTTTTCAATTTCTTTGTCCATATATTTTTATATATATATTTCCTTGCTTTATTAGTTTTACGGTTGTAGGCTAGGAGGTAGCTGAGTCTTGCGTTACCTTGTACTGTTGTGAGCCTAGTATGGTAGGGTTTTTGTCTGAAATAGCTAGGGGCATTGTCGTATCTTACTATTTTCGCTTTTCGGTGCAGGACCTATTTACTAGCCATCATTTTTGTTTTGCATTTTTCCTTCTGCATTTTATGTTCCTATTTTTCATATGATGTCGGTGGTGAAACTAATATTCTCTCCTTTTTGTTTTTCTTATTATCTTGAGCCGAGGGTCTTCCGGAAACAGCCTCTCTACTCCTTCGGGGTAGGGGTAAGGTCTGCGTACATACTACCCTCCCCAGACCCCACTTGTGGGATTTTACTGGGTTGTTGTTGCTTATAATTATTAGTCTTGGACTACATATACATATTTTTACTTTTTCTCCAGTTGCGCCTTTTTTCATTAAAGCCCACGCTTTAGTTGCGCTTAAAGCCCTAACGGACCTTAGAGCTTTTTTGCGCTTTTCGCCTTTGATATCACTGGCACAAGCTGGCCCGGACACCACAGTTATAAAAAAATGTTACTTGATTATTATAATTAGTAGGAGCAGTCGAAGGATATATTACATATATATTGAAAATTTATCTTGGTCGGAGAACATCACTTTTAAATTTAAATTCTAAAAGTTCATAGGAACTATAATAACTTTATTAGCAAAAATTTGGAATATTTTAGTACATCCTAAAATGGAATATCTCATATAGATTGCGATAGAAGCCGTAGTATCTAAATAATTAATTAGTTAATCGTAGTGTTTTTCATTTTAACAGCCTCCATTGACCTTAAAGGTCTATCTTGATATTTTTAGGCAAGGTAATGAATTAAGTTTTAACCTAAAATATTAATTGCAGAACACAAAGAGAGAATTCTAGGCTTGTAATGGAAGAAAAAAAAGGGGCAGGAGGGGCTACTATATTTTACAAATTTAATCACAGAACACAAAAGGAGAAGGTTACTCTTGCAATGAAAGAGAAAATGGACTGGGGGCTAGTGTAATTTTAAGAACTGGGAGGTCCTCGAATTATGATAAATAGAGAGGAGATTTGACTCAACTATACATTGATGACATAATGAGATGAAGTGTATTTATCATCCATAACAACAACAAGCCCAGTTTGATCCCAATATGTGGGGTCTGAGGAGGGTAGTCTGTACGCAGACCTTACCCCTACCTAATGCAGGTAGAGAGGCTGTTTCCAATAGACCCTTGGCTCAAGAAGGGCAAGAAGAGGAAGAGGGAAGCAAGGAAGGAAGAAACATGGAAGAGAAAAAGGGGAGATAAAGGATAAGTAGTATCAAATAATAGCAAGGGAATACAATACCTGAGGCGAAGAAAATCACATATCGTAATAAAAATCTAAGAATATGAAGGGACATGCACGCTACTAAGCCTATCGGTAAACACTATAAACTACCTACTAACCTTCTACTTTAATCCTCGACCTCCACACCCTCCTATCAAGGGTCATGTCCTCAGTGAGCTGAAGCAGCGCCATGCCCTGCCTAATCACTTCTCCTCAGTACTTTTTAGGCCTACCTCGACCCCTTCTCAAACTCTCCATGGCCAACCTCTCACACCTCCTGACAGGGGCATCAATGCTTCTTCTCCTAACATGTTCGAACCATCTCAGCCGCAACTCCCGCATCTTGTCCTCCACGGAGGCTACTCCCACTCTGTCCCGGATAGCTTCATTGTTAATCCTATCTCGCCTGGTACACCCACATATCCATCTCAACATCCTCATCTCTGCTACTCTCATCTTCTGCACGTGGGAGTTCTTGACTGGCCAACACTCAGCCCCTTACAGCATAGCGGGTTGAACCACCACTCGATAAAACTTACCCTTAAGTCTTAACGGCACATTCCTATCACATAGGACACCAAAAACGAGCCTCCACTTCATCCATCCCGCTCCGATGCGATGTGTGACATCTTCGTCAATCTCCCCGTCACCCTGGATAATAGACCCGAGATACTTAAAACTCGCTCTCTTGGGGATAACTTGACCATCAAGCTTTACCTCTACGTCTGCATCATGGGTCTCACTGAATTTGCACTCCAAGTATTCTGTCTTGGTTCTACTTAGTTTGAAACCTTTAGACTCCAAGGTCTGTCTCCAAACCTCCAACCTCGCGTTAACTCTGCTACGCGTCTTGTCAATCAGCACTATATCATCGACAAATAGCATGCACAAAGGCATCTCCCTTTGGATGTGACGCGACAGTACATCTATCGCCAAGGCAAACAAAAATGGGCTAAGAGCTGATCCCTGATGCAACCCCATCACCACAGGGAAATGCTCCGAGTCACCACCCACAGTCCTCATCCAAGTCTTAGCATCATCGTACATATCCTTAATCACCCTAATGTATGCTACCTGGATGCCGCAAACCTACAAACACCTCCACAGGACCTCCCTCGGAACTTTATCGTATGCCTTCTCAAGGTCAATAAACACCATATGCAAATCCTTCTTCCTCTCCCTGTACTGCTCCACTAATCTCCTTACCAGATGAATTGTTTCCGTAGTCGAATGCCCCGGCATGAATCCAAATTGATTCTCGGAAATAGACACGCACCTCGCCCTGGCCACCAACACCCTCTCCCAAACCTTCATAGTGTGACTCAATAACTTGATACCCTATAATTGTTGTAATTTTGGATATCACCCTTGTTCTTGTAAAGCGGAACCATCGTACTCCACCTCCATTCTTCGGGCATCTTCTTTGTCTTAAAAACAACATTAAACAAACCAGTGAGCCACTCCAAACCTGCCCGCCCCGCGCTTTTCCATAATTCCACCGTGATTTCGTCTGGCCCCGTTGCTCTGCCCCTGCACATGTTACACATCGCCCCTTCCACCTCCTCTACCGTAATCCGCCTACAGTACCCAAAATCCCGCCGACTCTCGGAGTGCTCCAACTCACCTAGCACAATGTGTCTATCCCCCTATTCATTCAACATTTTATGGAAGTATGTGTGCCACCTTCTCCTAATGAGTGCCTCGTCCATCAACACTTTGCCATCCTCGTCCTTGATGCACTTGACTTGGTCTAAGTCAGGGGCTTTCCTCTCCCTCACCTTGGCCAACCGGCACAACCTCTTGTCCCTGCCTTTGCCCTCGAGCTCCTCGTACAAACAAGCAAACGGTGCGTTCTTTGCCGTCGTAACTGCTAACTTTGCCTCTTTCTTCGCCTTTATGTAGCACTCCCGATAAGTCCTTTTTTCCTCCTCGTTTGTACTCTCTTCTCCAGCAGCTACCCTTATGCAATCCGCAGTCATGGACCACATACTAGACGCGTCCCCCACACTCGTCCAGGCCCTCATAGCCAACAATTTCTCCCCTAACTCCTGAGCTTTGTCCTTGGTCAAGTTACCCCACTTGATCTTAGGTTGCCTGCACCCCACCCTCTTCATCCTACTTTTCTTGATCTCCAGGTCCATAACTAGGAGCCTATGTAGGGTCGTGAGGTGCTCACTCGGGATGACCTTGCAGTCAGTGCACAAACCTTTATCGCATTTCCGGTAGAGAAGATAATCAATCTGAGTCTTGCCCATTAAATTTCGAAAAGTGACGAGGTGCTCTTCCCTCTTCGGGAAACTCGAGTTAGCTATAACCAAATCAAAAGCTCTAGCAAACTCCAACAGTGAATTATCTCCCTCATTCCTATCCCCAAAACCGTACCCGCCATGCACATCATCATAACCCCCAGCGCTAGCCCCAATATGACCATTGAAATCTCCGCCAATGAACAACTTTTCTGTGTGCGGGATACTACGCACCATCTCGTCCATATCATCCCAAAATTGCTTCTTGACCTCCTGGTTCAAACCTACCCGAGGAGCATACGCACTAATCACGTTTACAGTAAACCCACCAACTACCAGCTTAATACTTATCAACCTGTC